CCCCCAAAGGTAATAACTGAAGGGACTCAATTGAGGGGAGGGGGGGGGCGGGGTGGTGGTGACCATTCATTTGTACATTTTCGGCTTATGAGGCATTCCGCTCTGCCGCACGCGCTTCAATTCGCGAGAGGAGGAACAGGAAGGCTAGCATTGGATGGTCCGACATTCTTCATTCATTCACATCTTGGAGGGGGGGGGGGGAAACTTTCCGACACCGTAGAACCATGTGTGTTGACAGGAATCTCCAAAACGAAAGTGAAATAAGCTGCATTCTGCGCATGCTCACAGAAAGTGACCTCGTTTTCGCTGTTCTATCCAAAACAAAGCAGGAGACCGGGGGTTGCGCACCCAAGCAGAAACGCGGTGACGCTGTTAGACTCTAGATCTAGGCAAAAGTAGTCCCAGTCTGCTGGTCCGGTATTCTTCAATCTTACCGATTACTCTGGAAAATGCATTCTTTTTCTAAGAAAACACACCAGATAACTTACGACTTACTACGGCACGGAAGGACTTCCGAAACAAGCGACCACCCCATCAACAAACACAATAAAGAAGAGGCCTACCCTAACCCAAACCCTATCCCTAGATCTATCCCTACCCCTAGCCCTCAATTCTGCTCTGTCTTATAGTGGTCGCTTGTTACGGAAGTCCTCCCTAACTTACATTTATTAGGCCTACAACAAATCAAAAGTAGACTCTAAAAGACAAAGAGAAAGGAGAGCCCGCAACATCGAGAACAACATCAAAAAGCCACTTTGACGAGTCGATTGAAGCAGTATAGTCTAACGTTTGCGATAAATACCTCTGAGCCGATATAAAATGCCTCTCCATCTTGATCGATTCTAAAAGATTTGGGCTTTTCTCCATAAGTTTTCAAATTGGTAGGTGTACTAGGACTTGGGCTCGAGTGAGCTGTCGGCAAAGCTGACGCTGACGCCATTTTCGATCACTCTTTTTTCACCAAATCACAGAATTCTACACTTATAGAAGCGGAACTCCCTCTTCGCGATCGCCGATTCGCTGTGAGGAATTGAAACTAAAACA